GCACAACCATCTCTAGGGTTTACAGAGGATGGTCCCAAAAAGAGAAAATATCCAGTGAGCCAAAATGCCTTGTTGATGCCAGAGGTCAGAGGAGAATGGCCAGACTGGTTCAAGATGATAGAAAGGCAACAGGAAGTCAAATAAGCACTGGTTCCAACCAAGGTGTGCAGAAGACCATCTCTGAAGCAACAACACCTTGTCCAACCTTGAAGCAGATGGGCTACAGCAGCAGAAGACCACACCAGGTGCCACTCCTGTCAGCTAACAACAGGAAACTGAGGCTACAATTCACACGGGTTTTCTCACCAAAACTGGACAATAGAAGATTGGAAAAACCACATTCAGATGGAAGCATGGATCCATCCTGCCTTGTATCAACGCTTCAGGCTGCTGCTGGTGGTGTAATGGTGTGGGGGAGATTTTCTTAGTACCAACTGAGCATGGTTTAAACACCACAGCCTACCTGAGTATTGTTGCTGAGCGTGTCCATCCCTTTATGACCACAGTGTACCCATCTTCTGATGGCTACTTCCAGCAGGATAACGCACCATGTCACAAAGCTCACATCATCTCAAACATGACAATGAGTTCACTGTACTCCAATGGCCTCCACAGTCACCAGATCTCAGTCCAATAGAGCACCTTTGGGATGTGCTGGAACGGGAGATTCTCATCATGGATCAACTGTGTGATGTCATCATGTCAATATGGACCAAAATCTCTGAGGAATGTTTCCAGCACCTTATTGAATCTATGACACCAAGAATTAAAAAGGGGGTCCAACCTGGTACCAGCAAGGTGTACCTAATAAAGTGGCCTGTGAGTGTGTTTGTTCAGACATACAATGCCAACATTACTTCTGGTGACCGGGGTGACTAGTAAGCTATAGTGCAGATTATCATTCTTGGAGCCTCATATGCACCACTCAGCTCCGCCTTCTCTCTTTAAGAAAACAGCAGCTTCAGGTGATTAACAAACTGCAGACTCTTCTCTCGTGTAGAATATTTACAACATAACCTACATACCTCCTTTGTGAATTACAGATTGGAAACACCGTTTTGTGTTTGTGTTTGGATTACAGTATTTTCTTGTACCTACCATATGGCTATCAAGTAATCGAGGTTTACATAAAAAATTAATAACGCAGAAGATCTCTTTGGGATTTGACGGTGCACTGACAGAAATAAATAAGCACAGTGTGACCGTGCTGGAGTGCTGGTGCCAAGGATGAGACTTGAATATGGGATCACCTGCCAAAGAATATTTGGAAACAGATAATTGGCTTTCTGTTAAGTATCCATTTCACATTCTTTTATCCCTGTTCCAAACAGAAAACAGGGACTTCCTCCTTCATTCAGCGCCCAGTTTCAATTGTGTTTGATGACTCATAGTAAGTTTTTTCTTCATGCACAGTCAGTCAAACTCAGATGCTATAAGTATACTATCTGCTGCTTCCTACTGTAGCAGGAAGGACTCTGGGGACACTTCAGCATCCAACCTGGCAGCACAGTTACTGTCTGTATTTGCGCCTCAGTTTAAGCTTAAGGAGACTTTCACGTCAGGGATTTTGGCCCAGATGGGAGTAGACTTGAACGGAAAGTCCGGTTTGTTTGATTAGTTTGAACGCAGAGGCAATCTCTGGGGCTGAAAAATTAAGCCAACGCTGATGTGCTAAAAAAATTGCAGTGCCTCTAATGGCCACTTGAGGCTGCCAATCCCCAAAGACCCACATGTTAAAATGCCCAACTGTACAGCAGAAAAAAAAAAGTCTACAGCCTGGTACAAAATGATTTTGGTCTCTATAGCTAATTTCCCCGTTCATGACAACTGTACGTGGGGTGAACATGCAGCAGGCACACCACAGTCTGTGTGACGTGGGGTGTAAGGCATCACCCCCAGGTGAAATACCTCATTTTAAGGGAGTTCCCATCAGCCTCAGCTGTACTTTGTGTTAGTGCTAATTGGCAAATCCTCACAAACAAATACATTAAACTGAGGTGGGAACTTGATAAATATTATATCTGCTAAACACCTGCATTAGAGTTCTCACTCTCAGCTCGAGCCCGACGGGTCCTGAAAAGCCTGATGGATTGGACCGGGTACAGGCCGAAACTGTGCGATGATTGATTGGGTACAGCTAGGGCTGTTTTCATTGTCCATTTTCTGGAGCCTATCCCAGCTGACACTGGGTGAGAAGCGGGGTTCACCCTGGACAGGTCACCAGCCTATCACAGGGCTGACACATAGAGACAGACAACCATTCACACTCACATTCACATCTACGGACAATTTAGAGTCACCAGTTAACCTGCATGTCTTTGGACTGTGGGAGGAAGCTGGAGCACCTAGAGGAAACCCACGCTGACATGGGGAGAACATGTAAACTCTGCACATAAGAGCTCGCCCAACCCCGGGGTTTGAACCCAGCACCCTGCACGCAGCGTGCCACCGTGACAAATATTACGTAATATTCATCCATCCATCCATTTTCATCTGCTTATCCAGGGCCAGGTCACGGGGGCAGCAGGCCAAGCAAAGCACCCCAGACGTCCCTCTCCCCAGCAACACTTTCCAGCTCCTCCTGGAGGACCCCAAGGCGTTCCCAGACCAGATGAGATATATAATCCCTCCAGTGTGTTCTGGGTCTGCCCCGGGGCCTCCTACCAGTAGGACGTACCCAAAACACCTCCAGCGGGAGGCGCCCAGGAGGATCCTGATCAGATGCCCGAGCCACTTTAACTGACCCCTTTCAATGCGAAGGAGCAGCGGCTCTACTCCGAGCTCCCTCCGGATGTCCGAGCTCCTTACCCTATCTCTAAGGCTGAACCCAGACACCCCACAGAGGAAACTCATTTCCACCGCTTGTATCCACAATCTCATTCTTTCGGTCACTACCCAGAGCTCATGACCATAGGTGAGGGTTGGGACATAGATGGACCAGGAAATCGAAAGCTTTGCCTTCTGGCTCAGCTCCCTCTTCACCACGACGGACCGGCGCAGCGCTCGCATCACTGCAGAAGCCACACCAACCCGCCAATCCATCTCACACTCCAAAACTATACGATATATCGCAATATTTAGATAATCAAAAAAAGTTAAAGGACGTGCATGTGTTTGTCTAACGGCTTTTTTGCTCAGACCTGGAGTATGACTGTGCAGACAGCTAATAGGATTGGGGGATGGGGGGGTGTAGCTGTGGGTAGAGTCGATCCCTTCAGGGGCAGAGGTGTTTAATTATGGGCTTTCACATAGTCTGGCTGTGTTTAGTCTGGCTCATCCTGTGTGTGTGTGTTTGACTGAAGAAGCCTCAGAGTGCAGAGGAATGATGAGTTCACAGGCTTCCTGCGGTTTCTCAGAATTAGTTTGAGGCTTTTTGATGATAGAAGATTAGGACCAACAGGTATGTAGGCTAAACAAAGTGTGTGTGTGTGTGTGTGTGTGTGTGTGTGTGTGTGTGTGTTGGCCATTTTCACATAGCTGTTGTTATATGTTGCGCTGGAAGTGCCATTTTCAGTACAGCTATGGGAATTGTCCAACAGTGGAAACACACACACACACACACACACACACATCTCGCACCATTATTCATCCTGTAAACAAGGTAAAAAATAAAAATAGGCGAGCAGTGACGGGAGCCTTGAAAAAATGTGTGGAAACGGTACAGTTTCTGACAGTGAGCTATAAAAAATGATTTAATAAGCGATGAGAGGCAGGTCTCCTCCCCAGAGTCCCTGTATAAATCTTAGCGGGACACGCCAGGAGGTGACCTCTGCATTTTACTGCTGTTTCATGAACACGTTTCGCCGGCCATTTAAAAGGAGATTTTTCCCCATAAATCATTCCCACAGCTGTCAGAGGTCGCTGCTCGTGTAAATTACAGCACACGATTAAAGCACGTTTTATCATTTGCTTGATTAGAGCGACATTAATAAATGAAAAGCTTTGCATACTTAGCATTACTCTCGTTCTCAGGGTCAGGACGACGCAGTCAGAGGGTTACTGTTTAAGCTTAACTGGTTTACATGTAGACTCTGATTAGTTCGGAATAGGTTTTGGCCTTCATACAGCACACAGCTTAGCGTCCTCACACCCCAATTATTTCCGTAAGAGGAGGGATGTGCCAACACAGACAGATGCTTCTCTTTTTCTCAAGGATCTCAGTAACAGGATGCTCAGCAGTGGCATTTGCTTTGTCAGTGATGAATCAGGCGTCAGGCATAAACAACAGTGTTTAATGAAACGTTTGGCGAAGGCACATCCACCACGGTCAATCAATACCTTCTCATCTGTGTCTGCGAGTCTAATTCACCACGTGATTTATCACTGTGAACTTCTGAGGAGCTGACGAGCAGAGGTTGTCAGCTGTGTGAAGAAAACGCAGCTCTGCTGACGTCACGTTTCACGAGGATCTTATAATCTCGGCTTCTCACTCAGTCAGTCACACTTCTCTGTGTCGATAGAGAGTCGAGGGGAAACGGGAGAGAAGTGGTGCTACTTGGCACCCCACCAGGACAGGATGTGGAGCAGAAGCTGCATCAGATAATACCTCCTGCTGAGAGTGCAGGCAGCCATTGGTCCATCTGTTCTCCCCTCTGAATCACTGTTCCCCAAATAGAAAGCTGCTGTCTCGCCACTTTATATATCTCAATTCTCCTCCTCACTCCTTGTTAGAGGAGTTAAGTTTAACGGCCACATTTTCAGTACATAAAGGCAGTTCATCTTCCTTTCAAGGAGAAAATGTGAAATGTCATACACTTCCTGCTGTCAGCTATCAGTGGAAAATCTTTGTAAGTAAGCGGTTTACCAAAAGAATGTGCAGTTGGTATGTGATCAGTATCAACGGGATTTCTCAAGACACTGTGATTGTATCTGTGGTTTAAAAAATATCTTATCTGCTCGTTCTCTTCTCTCCTCCTCACATGACTCATTTTCGTGTCTCTTTCCAGTTTGTTCTCACACCGCCTCTCTGACTTTCTCCTGTGTTCTCTCTCCTCTGCCAGGTTACCATCACAGCCTCCCATCATCTCCATACTCCACTGGTCCGGAGGGTCAGAGGTTACCTTCATCTGGAACGCTGTCATCAGAGTTCCTCAACCAGGGCGTCCCTGTAAAGATTCTGCTGTTGGTCTGCAACGCTGCGGGGACGGGCCAACAGGCTGTTAGGTAATTACATGAAATGACCCTTTACGAAACTCTGCTATCAAAGCTTAGCAACCGTAACAAGGAAGGGAGAGCTTTGGATTTCTCCCCATGTTGCAGTGGTGTGCAGGGAGCTCTAAGACAACATTTCACAAAAACAGTAGAGAAAAGCTGGAGTAGACAGAAATCTGGAAAAGGCAAAAGGGCAGAAATATAAAATACACCCTCCTCCTGAGTCTTTCCTCTCTGTCCTGAGCTGCTCCCACCAGACGACCACAGGCACATGCACACGCTTCATACAGTAACTCAGTGTTTCTCATACAGTGATTTATTTAATCTTATTTCATTGTAGATTTGCTCGCAGCTCATTTGCTCGGCCCGTCCTTGCCCCACTTTATCTCTCTGTCATTATCAGATCACAAATGAGACAAGAATTAGCTGCTAGCCACTCACGGTCCCTCCGCCTTGCTACCAAATGCTGTCAACTGCTTCCCCAGAAAGATAGCAGGCAGCAGCTCAGGAGACGGGCGTTCAGCTGGCGGGTGTAGCAGCTTGAATTTGGCCAGTACAAACCCCTCAGCGCTGGGTGTTACAATGGGCCTGTGGCCAGGTCAAACCTGTGTAACAGCAGCAACAGAAAGTTTGTTGATCCAGCAAAGAGTCAGACCTAAGTGACGGGAGACCAAAGTCTAAGTTTATTATGGGGTTTTTGCTCAGTGACGCCAAAAACTGGGTTTTTGTTTTGTTTTGTTTTGTTTATGTTTGTTTGTTTTAACATTAGCATGCCTGGATAATCAGATTACCAGCTACAAGAGCAGCATTGCATGATTTCAAAGCTGAAAGGCATGGCATTAGCTAACTGCATCATTTTGTTGGGTCACATTTAAAACAGTTAAACTGTTAAAAAATACCTGTTCAGGACTGAAACATCCATCCTGTGGAAGCCATGGTGCAACTTTATTAGAGTTTAAGCTAACGTTAGGGGCTCAGTCCTGTTCTTGTTTGCATTTGGGAAAAGAATACCCAAACAACTCCAGCCAACCATGCACAAGATAGCATTATGTTGCTCTACCTGCAATAAATGGACAAGTTTTTCCTGGGAACATTAGCCTTAGTATTTTGGTGTTATATTTTTATCATATCCTCTATCTACTGTAGCCATATGCATGTTTAGGACTCTTTCACATGGTTCTGCTTTGAAAGCAAACCAACCAGAGACAAAGCTTTTTAAGTCCACGGAAATAATTAATTTACCTTAAGGGTTAAGGATGATATGATTTTTATAACTATCTGTGAATTTTAAAAAGCTGGTTATTTCACGAAAATAACTTGTTGGTAATTTAAAATTGCCAATATTAGTGCCACAGCAGCACATTGCTAAAAGTCCTCGGCAGTACTTCTGCATCTTTCTCCAAACGAGGTGTGCAGACTGACATTTACTATATGTAATACACTGACTATGGATTAAAACCTCATACAACCTCACTTCAAAAAAATCCAAACTTTCCCTTTAAGTATCCAGGTAAGCAGGTGTTAGATTTGTGTCTAAGTATTGCCATGAATATCCAGGTTTTCCAGCTGTAAATACCAGGCTTGAAATCGAACCGATTACTGGTTATGTGCGCAGCTTTTTAATTGATGTTGCCCAAGAATCAGAATCTTGAGAAAACATACTGGTGTCTAAAAACCATACTGACAGGAGAGAGACAGAGGAAAGGACGTATATGTTTTTAGGGGCACAAGGCCAAACTGAGGGGGAAAGGTAGCCTGCGTGAAATTGCTGCTGTAGGTAGGGGTTTAGTAAAATGTAAATTCTTAGCTTCTCTGACTTCATGGTCGGTCATTTAGGTTGTTGTTGATTTCAGCCTCACAGCAGATGGGGGCTCGATGTACAGTAGCTCAGTCCACAATCTCTCCTTGCTCTGGTGGAGCACGTCAAGGTCATGTGAGTTCCCTGCTACTGAAAGGACTCACATCTCACTGTGAGATGAGTTTCAGACCAAACAACTGGGGAATCTGACATCTGGCACTATATAGAGATCAGACATCCGTCTCCCTGACAGAGTCCAGAGGGATCAATATAGGTGAGCTCGCCAACACGTCTGTGGGAAAGTCCAATCCCATCCACTTCTCACTTTCTCCTTCAAACGCCTCGCCCTCGTCGATCAAACCACCCACCTATCCCGCTCTCATCAGATGACAGCTGGAGGACTCGTCTGTGCCAAGAAAATGACATTGGAGTCACATACTTGTTCCTCGCTCTCTGCAGAATAGCATCACAGGTACATTTCTGAAAGTCAGCTAGGTGTGAAAGCTCTCAGTTTTCATTGATTTGCCGAAACTGTGAAACCAACAGAAAACAGTGGATGGGATTTAATGAAGTTTCACATGTAATGTGTGAAACCTAAATGTTCAGTGTTTTTGCATTTCTCCCTGTGAAAGTTAACAGTTGGATTTCATGACATTTTAGTTGTGTTAGCTCTGATTTTCATGTCCGTGGAGGCAGGTGAAAACTAAATATAGATCACTGTGTGTTCACCAAGCAACAGCCTTCAGGGCTGGAAAACAAAGCCAACGCAGAAGTGCCAGAAACTGCAGTTCCTCTAATGGCCACTGGAGGCTGCCTCTAAGAGCGAGTCAATCTTTATAGACCCTCATGTTAAAACACCTAATTTTACAGCAGAAATGAACAGCCTGGTACAACTGTACCATCATAACGAGGGGTGAATTTTTATATAACTCATCTGTTTAAATGTAATTAAAGACGTATTTCACTGCTGGAAAGAAACTGAGCTGTCTAAGTAACAAAAAGACACAAATACTTTTGAAGTTGGTGCTACATGACCAGAGAAAACAGAGGAAAACGGCTGTGGCATCCACTTTTGCTCAAGTGGCAGAAAACCCACAACTACCAGAATGCACTGCACTGGACGATGGTGGGTGACGTAATGCATGTTGCTCATCTGTTTTGACACAGGAAAGAATATGGCAGCCAGCTGGCAACAAACAATCTCAAGACACAGTTAAACAGTAAGATAAAATCAGGGTTCCCACAATCATGTGTAATGAAATTGTCACAGTAATCTTCAGTAATGTACTTCAAAATGCATTTTTGAGATGGAGCGAGTGACACGAGCAGTCCGGGCCGTTCAGTTGTCACTCAGAGCACCAGTATGCACTCCGGTAGTTTGAAGACACAGAGCACTCTTTCTTTCAAACAAATGAACCAGTGGGCGAACCAAACTGTTGGCTGTCACTCCCACACTCCTGGAGCTCTTCTCCTCTGCCTATAATAATATAATTAACATTTTATACTGTAGACCCTTTTAGGGCCGACATCACGCTGATGTCAGTTTGTTAGCCAGAGCCAAAACCTGCCTCTCCCCCACAGGGCTGTAGGCTACACAGGAGTCTTAAAATGTGTTTGTCTTGTTGTGATATTGGGAGCCAGAATAGAAGGAGTCATGGCTCAAAACCAGCCGCCACTGCCCGTCAACAAAAACAAAGACAGCTATGGTTAAATGTGATAAGACCAAAGGACTGGACGGAGGCCATCATCAAAAATGCTCACATGTGCAGCGCACACTTCATATCAGGTTAGGGAAAAAGTATTTCCTGTTGTAGGGATGAATAAGGTTATGTGTATTAAGGGTTATCATGTCCACCTCATCAGAAACTGGGGAGGGATTAAGAGGAAAATTGGATTTCTCTGAAACGCTAACTTTTTAGCACATTAGCTAACGTTAGCTTCCATAGCAAAACAAACAAGTGTGGTCCTCCTTTGTAAGATTGGCTTCCTGTGACATCATCCATCCACTGAGTGAGAGCATACGGGTCGGCCAGTCTGGTCCCGTTGGTCAGTGTTTACTTATTCAAGTAACACTGGCGGTCCCGGAGAGTGAGTGACCTGACATGGTGCGTTGGTAAATTCAGTCTGACGCTCTACACTAAAATGAGAGCCCTGTTGGTGGAAGAAACGCAACGTTATATTTCTACATGAATGAACCAACGGTTAAGTTAATCACACATTCACTCCGCTCGGTGCTCTGCTGAGTCACTCAGAGTGCAGTGCTGTGGGTACTGTAACTGAACGCTACATTCAGACAGCGATCTGAAGTTACGAACGCTCCAGTTTGTGTCAGAGTGCGCCCCGACACTTTGAATGAGTATTTCTGAACACACCACTCACATCATCTTCCTCCATTGTCTAAAACAAACCAACAGAACTTGCTAGCTAGCACTAGCTAATGTCTTTAAAGAACTGTTTTGCCTCCAGCTAAGCCCCGCCCACCAAAAAATGTCATACTGTTTACTAACAGTAAAAGGGTCTAACAATACTATGGTCTTGATTAATTTTGCACCGGGCCCTTTAATACCGGGTCTTGGTACTCATCCCTAGCTGGGCCACTTAGAGGTTACTTCTGGGCCAAATGTGACGTCAGTAACGTTGGTCTGTGGTGTTCAGAAGTGGACGATAGATTTCTCTAAATGAAACCATCAAAAAAATTTAAGAAAATTCTGAATTCAGACTTCTAAATCTACTTCTTTATTGTGTTCTTGTTTAAGGTCGGAGGAGTTAAACTCTCCACTGTGGGAATGAGGACCCAGAGAGTGGCTAACACAGTGTTTCAGCCCTCTGTATTTAGCACACTCAGTCCATTCACCACAAACCGAACCACACAGCACAAGAATGGAATTGTTTTGTCTTTTGCTCCACAGCAGTTTCCAACTGAATTAATTGTAGTTTAAAGTCATTTTCCCTCCCATTCTGTTGTGTATATTGTCTCATCCCGTGTCGTGGTCGCTGCAGCTGCTACTCCTCAGCCACCACAGAATGTTAATGGTTCCCATCCTGAACAGTAATCCAGCCTCATTTACTCCGAGGGTCTCCGCGGTGTCCATCTATGATCTAATGGGAAAGTTGTATGATGGAGGATGTGTTTGATTTCTGAGGTTTGTTCCAGTGTCTTTAAGGATGAAATAGTGCCTTTACAGATGCAACACTTTTCATTCATCCCCCTCCTATTCATGCTGATTAATCTACAGTTTATTAGCATCCCATCATGCATTGTGTATGTGCCTGTGTGTCTGGCCTCTTTATGCACACGCATGCTCACATGGTCTCATACTAATAAATCCAAAGCATACAATGGAGGGCTGCTCTCAATTAAATGGGTATTATGGTGAATGTGTCATGTGATTTATCATTTCAGAGGGATGGTTGTCCCTCTCCTCATCATCTATTTTCACTCCTCATTATTGCTCTGTGTCCGTCCATAGATACGCTGTAATGAGAATTCTGCTCTAAAGCTGATAATGGTAATAAATAATTATTTACATTACAATAGGACGAGGAGACGCCTGAGCCGACCAGGGCTGATGTGGAGCGGCTGAGTGGGAGCGTCATGAGCTGTTGTTTTAAACTTTATCTACTTCTGTTCAAGGTTTGGACCTCCGTTCCTGATGAGGGAGGATCGGTCTATTTCCTGGGACCAGCTGCAGCAGAGCATTCTCAGCAAGCTGTATTACCTGATGATCAACGGAGCTCAGGCCCAGGTACGGGACAAACAATGATGTGATCACTGATACATGCGAGGGAATTCAGGTTTTTTCTTGCTCCCCACTCAGGGGTTAATTGTGTATGATTTAGGGAGATATAGTGGCATCTAGTGGTGAGGACTGCAGATTGCAACCAGCTGAAACTTCCCCTGGTTAGGATTCCTCCAGTGTTCATTGTTCATGAGGTTTTTACCAGGAGACGAATTATCCACAGAGGTCTCTTTCTCTCAAATATAAACAGACCAGGTGATTTAAACAGGTCAAAACACTGAATAAAGCAGTTTCACGTTAAAAATCACTGTTTCTTCAATGTTGTTTGGCATGTCGGAGACAGCTCACCCACTACATGTTAATGTGTGCTCATCTTTATATGCCTCCAAGCACGTGATAGCCATGGCCGAAGGCATCATGTTCATGGGTTGTCCGTCCAACAAACACTGACTTTCTCCTGAGAGCACTGTGTTCGTATCGCATAAGGTTCTAAAGCCAAACCCTGTTCTTTTTTCCTAAACCCAACCAGGTGCTTTTGTTGTTGAAGGAAAATTCATGGTGTTGTACCAACATAGTGCCTTTAATTTGAAAGAGACCATATGTAAACGAACTTGACACTGACAAAAAAGACTTCCTTTAATATCGGCATGCAGGCACACAGCCGGTTGCCATTATACTTAATGGGGCCAAGTGGCATCAGGGGTAAACACGGCGGGACAAGAACGAAAGTTAAAGGGAAATTTTGGTTTATTTCAACCTGTCTCCTATCATCCTAAATTTGTTTCAAGTCACTAGTGACATAAAAATAATAGTTAGCATGTTAGCCGTTAGCCTAGATACAGCCGGGGCGCATAGTAGCATCAGACCTGTTAAAACGTAAGTGAACGGGCAACCTTCAAGTGCAAAGTTAGTCCACTAAACAAGCTTTTTTTCCACAAAGACCGCCTCATATCGTTAGGATAAATGTCAGAGAACATATAGACAACGACATGTAAACGTGTTGTCTTACCTTACCGGTGTGCTGCCATGTTTGTTTACCATTTAGCTCTGCTTTCCAATGCTCGGCCGAAATCTCGCGAGAACAAGCAGCGATCTCATACCGTGCCTGACGTTTTACATTTTAACAGGTCTGACGCTACTATGTGCCCCGGCTGTATCTAGGCTAACAGCTAACATGTTAACTATAATTTTTTTGTGTCACTAGTCACTTGAAACAAATTTAGGACAATAGGAGACAGGTTGAAATAAACCGAAATTTCCGTAAGGCAATGAAAGTCCAAGTAGGGCGCATGGGTCCAACACTGACTTTCAACCGAGAGAGCAGTGTTCACGTCCCGTAAGATTCTAAAGCCAAACCCTGTTCTTTTTTCCTAAACCCAACCACGTGTTTGTTATTGAAGGAAAAAAAAAAGTTAATTCGTAGTGTTGTACCGACGTAGTGCTTTTATTTTTAAAGAGACTGTATGTAAACGTTAAATTTCCTGTGAAAACTGAAGTGTATTTCGAAAACAGACAGTGCATGTAACAAGCTGAAGTTGACACTGCGTCCCAGAACGTCAACAACCAACACACCCAGGGTACCTTGGACGTCGTATCTGGGCATTGAAAGTCCATGACCAAACAAATGTGTTGCAACGCCATATCTCAAAAACACTTTGAGGAAATTTCTTCAAAATTTGGCACAAACGTCCACTTGAACTTAACAGAGAACTGAAAATGATGACGTGGTGACATTTTATATCCAAAAGGTCAAAGGTCAGCTTCACCTTGACATCATAATACTCTGCAAAAACACTTTACTAGCCGTTAGTCAGCGTCATATCTCAGGAACAGAAGGGCAAACAGCTGGTCACACACTGAATTGTTGGAACTGTGCTGACTGTATAGATCTTCTGTGCTGCCGAGGGAGGAGGATGGAAACTGTAACTGCAACTCGCAGAGGCATACAACCACGAGGCGGTAATTGTAGTTCCTCTGATAATTTAAGATCCAGACAGTCAGGAGGTTTCAGCAGGAGCCGGATTATCTGCAGAGGTCTCTTCCTCTCTGAAACAAACAGACCAGGTGATTTAAACCAGTAAAAACACTGGTTGCTAACCTTGGTGACTGATGCAAAAACACAGAAACGAAAAATGTGAATGGCCCGATCTGGAGCCAGTGTTTGATTTGTCCGTTCCCGGCTACTGTAGAAACATGGTGGTGTGACGTGGCAGTCTCCATACATGAGGACCTGCTCCTTACGTTAATATATACGACTCATTCTAAGGTAACAAAAATACAACAGTTCTAATTTTCAGGTGATCATATGCTAAAGAAAATATACTTACTTTATTATTTTCCATCTCTGCCAATATATCCCCCCTAAATCCTACACACTGGGCCGTGAAGGGATTTATCAGAACACAGTGCCAGCAGCTGTTAGATATTCACTGACTCACATACAGACTCCTTCAAATATTGATATGAAACACATCTCAGAGGAAACACAGGTTGATGCAATGGGAAACAAACAGCCAGCTATAAGGACAAAAGTATGATAGTTTTCACTCCAGCTCTACTGTGATGTAATTCTGCAACTGCCTGCCAGAGTGTGGGAATTTATGTTTATTATTTATTCTATATTCTGTTTACTGCATCACAACCATAAGACCCCTGGACTGAAGCAGCTCTGCAGCCCTGCGTAATGAGTCATTAGACATTGTTCCGTGATGCTTGTAAAACATACATTTAATAGCCGTGTCGCGTGGGCGGGCTTGTTTTGAGCACCGGCTGGAGGCAGAGAGGGGACACGGTTCCCTCCTGCCGAGCCGGCTGGCGCACCTGTTCCAAGACAGGTTTATTGGCTCAGGACAGAGAAAAGCATGCCCACACAATGACACCATGTAGTACAGGTGGGAGAGCTTACAGTGCCAGCTGGAGGCAGACAGGAATTGGTTTCCTCTCGCTGCACCCACAGGCACACCACACTCGAGTCGGGTTAGCTGCACCTCGCTTTACATATTTCATAGAAAGGTCTTTACAGAGACGGGCTGAAGAGATTACACGTCCAACTTCCAGTTTATACAAAAACAAAAACAAACGTGGGCTGAGTTTTATTTTCTCTTTGCCAACCTAGAGAGGAAAATTAAATATATCCAAAAGGTATGTGGCTGCTGCTTTGTTTACTGTTGTCACAGCTCCACACACACAGTTCACAAACACTCTGCATATTCAAACCACGCTGATATAGTTTATTAGCATCTTTAGTTAAAGGTCCAGTGTGTAGGATTTAGGGCAGTGGTTCCCAGCTGGTCCAACCATGGGGTCCAGATCATTATTTCACGGTCCACACATATTCAGTGTCATACTTGTGTTTTGCCATGTCATCGAGCTAGTTTTCTGTATCTGTTCGGCACTCACTCTACAGCAGGAAACAGCACTTCAAAATAAAAGTAAACAACCAACAGCTACTTGACAGAGACAGAAAACTAGCGTGGAAAACATGATCAAGTGCAAGTTTGATGCTGAATATATTAAACTGTGTGGACCTTGAACTGATGACTAAGGACAAATCTGGACCCTGTGATTGCACCAGTTGGTAACCACTGTATTAGACCATATTGTGACTGGTATCTAATTATTGGTAACCAAAAATCAATAACTTAAAAATGTGTAGTCGCTCTCTATTACAGCTCGCAGTTGCCTGGCTCTGTGGGACTGGCTCCAGGCTGACCGGAGGTTGAACACCGCTGGCTCTAAGTATCAAAACTTGAATGGTTCGATATGTTTACATGTGTCAAGTCAAAGGAATTGGTCCTGTGAAAAGAACCGTTCTAGATGCCTCTTTTCAGGATAGCTGTGGCTCAGAGGCAGAGCAGGTCGTCTACTAATTGGAAGATCAGCGATTCAATCCCCGGCTCCTTCAGTCTGCATGTGGAAATATCCTTGAGCAAGATACTGAACCCCAAATTGCTCCAGATGGCTGCTCCATTGGTGTGTGAGTGTGTTAAAAACTGAATAGCAGGTGGCACCATGTATGGTAGCCTCGGCCACCAGTGTATGAATGTGTGTGACTCGCAGTGTAAAAAGCACTTTGAGTGGTCAGAAGACGAGAAAGGGGCTTTACAGGTGCAGGTACGTTTACCATATAGAGCCAGTTGGTTAAATTAGATCTGAGGACGTCAGTGTTTCCGTCTCTAGCTCAGAGAAGTTTGACACCTCTCCATGTCGTAAACTCTGGGGACGAGACCTCTAAACCAAGAAAATACCGGATATTTAAATGACGATTGTTTTCAGCTGCCACATTTATCATCACTCGATCATTCCTACACTGTGATAGGTGAGATTAAAATGTGCCATGAGTCACACACAGACTCCATCATTAGACAATTTCTGTGTTCAGATCTGCGCTGGTTTTTACGTTAGATTAATAAATGAGGATCACTGACTATACTTCACTCAGGAACACTCTCGTCATAAATTTAACCATTTATTGCAACAAATGGAAATACAGCAGGGGCGATTGCTCTGAGACAACAAGGGAGGCTGAACTTCCCCTAAAATTTCGTAGAAGAAATGCTCAAACATGCACTATTGAATTTACATTAAAATAAGAATTTACATTGCATTAAACGAACGCTAGGATGCGTTTCACATCATGACTGTGATGTTCAAACGTCAGCTGTTTATCACCAGTTTTCAAACACGACCTTCCTGTCATACATTCTCGTGTCAGCAAAGTGAGACGCTCATTGGATAAATGCGACAAATGCGGTGGGAGAGGACGCTGGGTGTATGCATGGTGATTGGAGGAATTGTCTAAGAGGCTGAACCCCTTTGTGACTGATAGCGCTTCGCATTTCGAGCTCAGTCCCATGCGGATATTTGCGAGTGAAGTCTTCTGACAGAGTGCCGCCTGGAGTTCCTTATTTCTACAAGCGATATAGCTCATTTTCATTGTTTGTACAGCACAGTTCAGGTGTTTAAACCCATCTGAAAATCTATGAGGTGTGTGTTGCCGTGGTTCT